TYMAWTWMYTTMMYWAAWYCMARRWTTWWTTTTWAAAAAWWWTTTTTTTTACTGTCAGTTTTTATAATTCCATCATTTCCATGTATCTTCTGCAGCTCAAGGCCTAAGACAAGGAAAGAAAACTAACCTAGAAGCAATTGCCATACAAACAGAGGAAAACAAAACAAAACCAAGTAAAGTCCCCAACCTGTTAAAGCAAATCAAACCAAACCAGCAGGGCCTAAAGCTCATTTTCTATGATTTTCAATAAACAGAAATGGAAAGTTTTGCAATATTTCTAAAGCAGTTTTTGACTGAGAGGGGGAAAAAGAAGAAGCCTGAAATCTAGTGTTTTTTCTTCTTCATGACAAGTACAATTCTCTACGACTTCACTGTCATATTTTTATGCYTCTCAGGAAGTGTAGGAGTGACACATAGGGCCACACAGAGCATGATGGCCACATAAGTCTATTCCTAAAGAATACATTCAGATAATGAGCAGAAGTAACAAGTACAATGACAGCTTATTTACTCAAACATGAAGTTCTTCAGTTCAGCTAGAGGTACTTTCCCTTCCATATCCAAGAAGATGCGTAATCTGCAGTAGGACTCTAGTTGAAAAAGGAAGATGCTGCATAAGCTGCTGCAGAAACGAAGGGCCAGTCCTTCATTAGCCTTTTGTACAGGAGCTGAGTGCCTCTCAGGTAGCAACAAACACAGTTCAGCTGGAGAATATATTATTTTCCATTGTCACTCGTTGCACTGAAATCCTGTCATGTAGACTGATACTCACCATGGCCAGCTACCCTAATGTGGTTGCGTTAGTTGCTGTGAAGAAGTTCTAAATTTACAAAATATACCAAAAAATTCAAAAAATAAAATATTTTGCTTCCTCTCCACCCTTGTGAATGACATCTAATAGACCCGCCATACAGTCACAACAGTATTTTTTATAAATGCACACTGCTATGCATGCATCTCACTGTGCAAAATAGCAGTAAATGTAACTATGAAAGAGTTGTGTTCAAATTCCTCTATTTGTATATTTGCTTCATCATTTCCAAAGTTGTCATGTGCACTTCATACACAGTTCTAAAGATGCCAAAAGCAAGRCAGAAGCAAAATCCTAACATCAATGTAGATGCTTTTGATTTTCATTCTTACACTTACTTTTGAGGCTTTTCCCCATTTAACTAAAAAGACAAATGCAGAAGCTTCAAATCTCATTGACTTCTCTATTGRAAATTACAGATAATCAGCAGACCTGCAAACTGTGTCTGAGGGCCACTTTACATTTATAAGTTTTGTTGCTTTAACCATACTGATGCAGCTAAAAAAAATTAAATCACGCCCTTTTAGATACGTGTGACCAGAAACTGGGAACTACATGACTACAACCATTCCATTTTAGTTTGCAAATGGGAATTAAAAGCATACATGCAAACAGATACCTACCCATAAAAATTGGAAAAAAAATAAAGACTTTCTGTACTCTTTAAGTAAATTGCCCAACCATAAGACTGTCAATTCATTTATGACAAAGGGCTGAAAAAGAAAATACAGCTAGACAGTGCTGTGTAGCAACATGCCTGAGACACACAAGGGASTTCAGCTAATAAACTGAAATTTGCACATTAATTCATTTCGGTGCAGAAAAATGCTGGGTGGAAAGAGAATTGAACCGACTTGAAGCATTGCTGAAAAGGTAACCTAGACCTAGAGAGAGACAGATTTTGATTTTATCTGTCACTCTGCAATATGTTTTTGTCAGATACTGAGCTGGTTCAAACTGGCGCAGCAACACTGACTTCAACAGAGCTACATCCACTTAAAACATTTGAGAARTATCATTTACAACATATTTTGTTGACCAGACTATCAGATGTTAACTTTAAYCAATTTAAGCTATTTTTACTGTGGGAGGAAAGCCCCAGAGTGGCCCACTTGGCCAAATTGCCTTAAGGCTCTAACACCCAAAGATCTGTTCCAATTCTGCAAAAAAACTGAAAAACTATTGCTTTTGTCAGATGAATTTTTGCTACAAAAGTGATACACTGGAATCAGTTATTTAAGGGCTTCTATAAGGGACACACATGAGCAAAACAAACAAAGATCTCAAAGGAATCTTCCTTTACTGTCTATGGTTCCGGTTGAAACATCTTTTTAAGTACCTTATACATAACATTTATCAAGCATGGAGAGGGAAAACTGAGGGGAAGACATGGAGGGGGCAAAACCCTGTCTACAGAGAGGCAAATGTTAGTCCACAGTCCTTAATTTCAAACTCTATTGAATAGGCAGTGTGACTGCAAATCATGCTTCTTCTGACTATTGGTGTCAACTCTTTCCTCTCCACTCCAAGCAGATTAGAGGCTGCTGACTTTACATCTTTTATCCAGGAAGAAACCACACATTGATAAAACACAGCTCGCATTTTTCTACATAATTGTGTGGTCATGGCTCCAACCAGAGTCTTACTAACTTTCACGGACAAGATAATTAGATGGGACTATTGTGTTAATTAAGCCCAGCCTTGTGTACATGCCAGCTCATAATATTTCCCTGAATTCATCCTTTGGAGAATAAAGAAACAGTGAAACCAGCTGATTTTGATTTCAGGGTTGCCAGAACAGAGAAGCTACAACAACCTYGTCCTTGAGCTCCTCCACCATGGTGCAAGTCCTGAACTGTGAATCCACAAAATTACATAACTAAAACCACCAAACTTGTAGCCCCAAMACAGGCAAAAAAAGAGGTAACTTAACCTCCCAACTTTTATCTGAGCATCTCCTGCTCATGTCCATTTAATCACAGAACTGGAATTCAGTCTCACAATTACATCCCCAAGTTTGCTTCTGAGTCACTTTTCAGAGTGAACAACTCTGAATTCAGAGTGCCTCTGTCCTTCACTGCCTGAAGGATGTAATAAATCCAAATCTAAAGCTATACRTATCTGACTGTGACCAACTGCACAAAATCACATTTTATGATACTTTCAAGCATATAGCTTTGGTATTTGTTTTTCAGAAGCACCCAGTGGTTTGTTCATAAAGAACAGTAATGTAAGTCTGTATGTRAGATGAAGAAATCTTTGCCTGACATACTGAGAGGCAGCACCAGCATTCCCAATTTCRGTCCAAAYCTACCCAGTGTAGCAAAAACTTAAMACCTCTTCCTCAGAACTGAAAAGCAATCGTGCACGTGGCAGAATTTCATGCAGACACTCACATATCACTCACCCACACAGCCATCCTCCAGCACATGCAAACCACTCTCAAGAACACAATATGCACCATCTTGCTGAGGCAGCTGCTGGGTCTCATCAGGCTGACATTAAAGAAACCTGAAAAACTGTATGCTTACAGATCAGGATTTGATCTCAGGTGTATTTTGAATTTTTATAGTTCAAATTGTAGGTATATATACCAGAATTCAAATATTTTCCGATTATTTTTATTAATAAATATGTTTATTTTGAATAAAACCTCTGGAAGACTAACACAGCAAGCAAATCTGAAATTTTAAGYAAAAAGTGTGATTTTAATTTCCTTTATGCAAATGCTTCAATATTTGCAAATCTTTCGGRAATAAATTCAGGAAACAAAATCTGATCCTCTGCAATTTTATCCCAAATATGCAGTCATTATCYTCACTACCAACTATGTCTCACTGTTACAGGGCTGCCTTTTCACATGGGTGCRGTATTTCACCTAGCGAAAGGTCAATTTTTGCTCATGCGAAACAAAAGAAGGAAGAGATTTTTAGTTTTGTTTAAATCCCACAGCACCTTAAAGTGTTTCCCATTTGCCTCTTAGAAGTTAGCCAAACCTCAAATAAGCAGCATGTCCATGATCAAATGCAGGGTAAAGAGATGCCTGCACAGGACTAAGAGYTAACATACAGTATTTGCATTTCTTACTGGAAAGATGCAGCAACATCTTCCTGTAGCAAACCTTTGACTCTCAGGATGTCCCAGGAGTGTCCAAAAGGACTGGACTAACACGTCCCACCACATCCCCAGAAGCAGGGCTCACTGTTCTGCTGGGCACTGCACTCAGCTCTCTCAGGGATGGGGAGTGGGGCAGTGGCACAAATGTTCTCCTGGCAGTTCAAGGATCTGAGCTGCTCTTTGCTTCAGACCTTGCAGCAGCTTACTCAACAACTCATCTGCTTTTGGGACTGGGCCCCACAAACAGTAGCATCACTGAAGCTATTGGAATAACAACTGCAAAGTGGAAATGGGAATGAGCAACCTGAGGAAGAGGAAGAAAATTTCTTGAGCCAGTCAATACGACAAATTTGATGCATCAAAAAAAATTATATTTTCAAAACAACTGCTTCCAAATTCTAGTCATTTTGAAGGCCCAGGGGAAAAAACCAAGTCTGGCCAGAAAGCTCATCCATTACACTCAGCAGTATTAAGTGGTCTTCGGAACAACAGTATTTCTTTCTTCCTATTTCTTATTTCCTTTAGACAACCCTCTAGAGCACTACTGTTATATATGCACACCCACTTGTGTGCCCACACATCCACCTACATGCTCTGCACTGCAAACATCATTATGTGCCTGACAARCACGCTCCGTCTGACAGCCCTGCATCAAGGGCAGGTTCAAACAGAAGCGAGTTTCAGCAGAACTCACTAGTGAGCTTATTAGCAGACCACTGCAGGAATGCTGGTCTGCTGTGAGAATTGAAAAAATAAGCACTTGCATTTTAAGYAACATAAAGCAAGATGAGGAWTTTTTTCTCTTTTATCARTCAGAAAAACACRTGRACTATTATACCTTTGCCATGTTTGYTTTGAAAGGACCTAAGATAGGCAAGAAAAGCTACAGAAGGAATTAGAGGCAGAACACATTTTGATTTTTAGCTTATTTTTAACAGTATTGATAATCAGCTTCTAGTCTAAACCAAAGAACTTAAAATGCAGTTTGACTTCAAGGCATTTTTTAATGTTGTTAATCAAAACATGATGGCTAATATGCATTCCTTGATTA